TTATTAAACTGTGGACTTTGAGACTGCACATCAGCTGATGGCTTGCTTGCACATGTCATTTTTGTGAGGCAGCGTTTCAGTGTGAATGTGTGTCTTTACAAACCACTCTCTTACCCTTTCTGTCAGAATCGTGATGGAAGGGGGAGCATGCCCAAACCCTGGGAAATAGAGGGAGAGGGCTTTGTCCCATCAGGTTAGCTCTCAAGCCAATGAATGCTTTTCCTTTGCCGTTCCCAGTCTGATTGGTTTTGAATCAGCCTTGACCTGATGATTCCAGCTTGGAACACGGTCTTCTTGCTAAGTCCCACATCCTTTGATGTCCTTGGAGTTTTTCCCTGATTCAGAACAGAATGAGCAGGCTTAGCATGTGCTTTAGAAAGAATCAGAGAGTTTTCCATTGATATCTTCTTTTCTCCATTGTTTTCTTTTTCTCTAGTGGCTTGTCATCTACAAACATGAGATCTTCCTTGCAACTGCTCTAGCTGGATAATTTTTGCATGTACACTGCTGTTCCCTGCTATTGGGAAGCAGGATGCATTAGTAAGTTCTCCGTTTGAGTCTGCATTTGATCCTCTCAGCACTTTCACTGACATTACCTGCTTGCCTTCCATATTTTGGATAGCTTTATCAAATAGCCTAGCCATTTTAGAATGAACCTTTCTTCCTAAAGGTTTGGATCTAGCAGTGGTTGGCCATTACCAGATGCCTTGGTCAGGATGTGTATTGTTAGTTTCATATCTGACCCTGAAGTTGCTTGCAGTGGCAGCAACTTCAAAAAGAGCCCAGCAGGCTCGACTCTGCTGTCAGGAAATGTAAACGTTGGGACATATTCAGAGAGGTCTATATACCTCTGTGTTGTGTCAGTTTTTGGTGTCAAACAGGCTTTCAGGATGCACTGTAGTACTCCTACAGTCTGATCAATTACAGGACTTGTAATAAGATGACCTGTATGGAAAATGGTTTACTTAAATCAGGAGTGCTGCAGCAAACAACCTTGGATGAAGCAAGTACTGTGGCCTGATTCATAATATTACAGGTAGTGGTGAATTAAACCACTTGGCTTCAGTGCTGAGAGAAACACAACAGGCGGTGGAAGATCTTTGCTTAAGGATCTGAAAGAAATATTTCACTCCTTGGAGTGGGTCTGTCTGTCCTCAGACAATAGTAAGTTCTTATTTGGCAGCTCTGAAACTTATGCTGGACTGCATGTGCATATATGTCAAATGTGGCTTCATGCTTACCAAATAGGATGTTGATGTAAGTCGCTATCCTGGATGTGATCTCAACCTCCTTCTAGGGTTACAGTGCCTGGTTAGCATTTGTAAAAAGTCACCTTTGAGAACTGTGTGTTATGCTAAGCAGTACTAGCTGCCTTCAGGAATGGCTGAGATGCTTATCTTAGTCATCATATGGTCCATACTGCTCAACCAATGTAAAGCCTCATTTACATATCAACATTTTTGAGATGTGAATGGTTTGGAAAACGTGCTGGAATCTTCTCCCCTATGTCATGGGGCATAATGTTTTAAGTGATGGTTGCCACTGCTATGTTTTACATAAAAGAGGAGACAGCTCTTACCTTCTGTCAGGACATGATGAATCTCTGTCACATATCATCAGCTTATCTACCTCAGAGTTCAGACACATATGTTGAAAATTTGTGCAGCTTCAGACAATGTTTTCTTGACTGAGAAATACAGACTGATATGCCTGAGGTGAGCTGCTTCCAGGAGCCCTTATGTGTCCTATGTCCGATGTTGTGCTCATATGTTAATGGAGATACTGAAAAGGAGAGGAGCGCTATGTGTGGTGGAGGTGGAATGGGAGCTTACCCACTGGAGAACTGCGACAAGACTATTAAAAGACTCTGGCTTGAGTCGTAGGTAATACGCACATATCGTTTGAATGCATAATACATATAATAGAACTACTCATTTACTTTCCTTCTGTTTCTTTTGATTGCAGGTTGTACACATTGGATGGTCGTGCAGTGCATAGCTCAGATGGTTTAGAAGATAATCATTTTTATGTCGCAGTGGGCAGAGAAAATTTCAAGCCTTTACCATACTGGCGTTCCCCTAGAGTTCCGTCAGAGGTTCGATGGTAAGTTTTTTCTTGGTACAATCTCATGCCAGATACTTTATTTCTGCAAGATGCTGAACGCACAAGTCCGGATGTTTTAGGCATTTATCGTTAGTTCATGAATTAGGAACATAGCCTTTCTCAAGATTCAGTGGAGGATATGCAATTGTGCGGAATAAATTGCCCCTTCTGGAGCTGCCCATGTTCTCTGTGTTGACTACAGAAGAAGACTAGAGCAATTTAGATTGTGGTAGAGGCATATTAAATCATCAGAGGCAAATACTGGCCTCTGCTACCAAACAAAGCATGTAAGCATATAATTCACTAGTAATTTTGTTGGTAGTATGTTTGACTATTGGTTCAGAGTGAAAGCACTTAGCAGAAATGGGATTTATGGTTTTTTTTTCCCTATGTATAGTACATTATCTTTTATTTCTCAGTTTGAGTACTGCTACAGTGACATTAATTTCACGGAAAAGTTCCTGTCTTTGGGGCTAATATAAATTGTGATGTACTTGCTGTTCTTTCTTTGCTACCGTTTTGAGCACTGTTATTGCTAATTTGTGGATTATTCAGTGCAAAAACATAGGCAAGACATGTCTTGACCGTCTCTTGGACATTGAGGTATATGCTGTATTATTAGCATTAACATATAATGGCAAGTATTCTGTGCCATTAACTCCTTTTTTCCTTAGTTTCATTTTAAATCAAAGACTTCATAGTTTATGTAAGTGCTTTACTTCAATGTTTTAATTTAAATTGTTATATATTATATATTATATTATTTGTATTGTAAATAATGCTTTAAAATATATTGTCAATCATATTTTAGAGAGATTTTCTATTACTGTTCCAGAATTATATTCTTGGAGCACCTGAGAATTTTTTTTATTTAAATTGAAGGGGAAAATATAATACTGAATTTAACTATTATATTGATTTTTCTCCTATAATTGTGACAAGACTCTCCTTAGTTCAATACAGATGCTTCTTAATATAAGGTTTTGAGTATCCATTTCTGATGAATGATTGTTTCCATGACTTAGAAGTTACTGAATTTAGCACTTTTGATGAAGTCTTGCAATTTTATGTTTTTGGTTAATCTGAATTGATTAGTTTGTGAAGATATAGTTGATGTATTAGGTAGGTAGTATTTGTACATTTTCAGAAGACCTTTACTATTAACTATTTTCCTGTTGAGTTTTTGGTCACTGTATCAAGAAAAGAAAGGTATCAGTAATTTTCAATGTTACTGAAGAACTGCTTAAATTATATTGAGTAGAATGTCACATGAAATGTATTTCAGGTTTTACTTTTAACCTCTCTTGCTCTTGCAACTTCATTTTAATTTTTATACTTCATACACGGTTCCTCACTTATTATTGTCAATGGCTAATTAACTGATAGTACATGACTTCTGATTACTCATTTAAATTAACTAATGAGCCTGAAAGATTTCATGTAGCTTTGATCCAGGAAAAGATATTTTCACTCATTATGTTCTTATCCGACTTCTTCTCAGTAACTCATAGGGGACTAATTTTTTTTTTTTTTTAAAAGTAAGTGGTAGGACATTAGATGTTAAGTTATGCGTTTGTTTATAGTCTGAAAAAATAAGCAAAGGTCCAGTAAAAATGACAGAACAGTGTTTATATCCTATATTCTATTTGTATTTGTATTACACTTTTTATATTCTGTAGGTGAAATTCAGTAGTTGTTGACATGGACAGCACAGGATTCTGTGCTGCAGAATTTATGTAGGTGTTTAGGTACATGCTAAAGCAACCACTCTTAAGAATTGCCATGTAGATTGGATGTTAAATACCAAATTTAATTGTTTTGTCAGTGGCAATGCGGCTGTATTGTTTTTGTTTATTTAGGATATTTCTGGTTGTCAGCATGCATCTTTTTTCTTCAGATCTTACATTTGCTATCTTACTTGATAATAGTTTATTTTTTGGCAGTTATTTGAGATTTTGTTGTGTCACCATATGTTGCTCTGTTCTTAGGACTTTATTAGTTTAATGTTCAGTTTTCCTTAAAAATTACTGAGTTGTGTTAGAATATTAGAGCTCATAAAAGGACTAAGTCATTAGCTTATGGGGCATATGAGCAGTCTACATGTGTTTTATTAGTTGAAGAAGGCTTTGGTTGTGTCCTCCCAGGGAAATTCTGTAATCAATATCATGAGTATGTTTCTAGCTGTGGTGAAATCAGTTAGATGATAGCTTCAGCAAATTAAAATTTAAAAAAAAATTACAAGAAAAATACATTATGTGGAATAAATGTGGTCTTAGTAGCAGTTAAGTCAGTACTACTGAACTGAAAAATGTCCATATTCATATGCTTGTTATTCTAGGAGACTGAACTTTCTTTCAGCTTCTTGTAATGGTAGTATTTAGACACTGGCTGATTTGAAAAAAAAAAAAGGGCTGAATATTTCATGAGTCTGAGTCCAGTGTTCAACTTAAATGTAATTGATAGATTAAAGACCTACTTTCTGCTGTTTTGAAATTCTTTTAGCAATTTCTGAAGCCTCCTAATATTTATATAAGTACTATAATTGAGTAGTATTAATGTTAAATTTAGCCTATATTCAGTGGGTTATACAAAGTGATTATCATCTTGAATTGTCTGGAATTAAATTGTCATGCATCCCAGAGTAGGGAGTTACAGATGTAATATGTTTATCGAAAGATAAGCTGATGTATTCTGTTCTAGCCAAGACTTCTGAATGGTTGTGAAAAACTAATGTGTATAGACATTATATTGGTGCAGCCAGATACATGGATAATCATTAAACCTAATTTTAATGAAAATACTTTTTTTTTTGGTCGAATAGAAGGCAAAGTAAAATATTTCTGTCCACCACTACACAATTGTTACTTCCAGTAAAATCAGAAATTTTGGACTCATTCTGAAAATCTATGAGCAGAGGCATTTGTTAGCAGGGGAAGCCACAGTGAAGCAAATGACCTCTGCCAAAACACCCTTTTGTCTTACCTGTACTAAACCTAGTTTCAGTGATATATTTCTCTCCGTTGGATACTGTGAGCCAAGAGAACTAGTTATGTCCTAGTCTGATGAAACTCACCTACATATCTGCAAATTCCAATAGTGAACACCATAACGTTTCACAGTTTTCTACAGTGGCTTTCCTATATATTTCCTAAATATTGAGCAAATATATCTATTGAGCAAAACTTTTTTTTTCTCCAAAATTTATGAACCATCTGACACTTTCTAAGTAAGGGACACATCAATGTAAACCATCTGGGCTTTCTTCAAAAGGAGGTGTGATTATTTTAAACAACTTTTCTAAAGCAGAAGCCCTTATGAAAATACAATTGGAAGGAATATCACACTCTACTAACTGTTCGCATCTATTATTAAAATTGTTATGTTAACCAAAGAATGACTTCATTTAAGTATCTATGTCCTTAAGTATTTAATTCTCTAAGTATCTGTCATAGCAATAAAGTTGAACAGGGTGCTTAGGCAGAACTTCCAGGAGACGTTTCCCGTTCCCTGTGATAAAAGAAACTTTCTTTCAGGAATGGGCATCTCAGCTGAACCAAAGCAAGTGAAAAGACATTTAGCTGCCCACTGAGTCTGTGACAAGTAATACCAGCTCTCTACCACCCTATGAAAGACATAGGGGTCATAGGACCCCTTTTTGTGAAATAATCAAGCCTCATTTTAAGAAAAACATACTATTTTTTGCTCTGCTGCTTCAAACGAGAATTTCATTGCTCCAGTGATTAGAAACTTCATTTCCGGCCAAAATATATTCATAGACGTGCTTGTATCCATTTATCCTTGTGACAATATTATCTTGTAGTTTTAACAGTACTTCTCCTTGTTCTTTCAGATATTGCTTCTTATTTCTTTTTTGATGGCTCAAATTTAATATAATAGTATTGCCAAACTGAAGAACACATCCATCAGAATACGTCAGTTGTTTACGATTGATCTTGTAACTGCTGAGATCACTTTTACTCTTAGGCACTTTCTTAAAAGCTCTTTGATATAATTTAAATCTAAAGCAATCCTTCACAATTTGCAGACTCGTGCCTTTCAGACATTAAAGGCATTTCATTTGCAATTCATATTATTTTGGGGGGAATTACACTAGCAAAACTGGGAACCAAATGCTAGGTCTTTTATACGGAAGTGACCTTTTTATGTTTCTTCTGGAGGACAAGGCAGTTATTAAGTACTAACACCAACTCACCGATTTTGTAGCTTTTGTTTCAGGTACTGTATCAACCTCCTAATTTGCTACCTAAACTGTACATTATTTTTGCTTGAACCAATGTGTTCTTCTGCTAGTGTTCATTCCACAGAGTAATTTTCTTAGGGTGAATGTTTGTCATAATAAATGAGCTTTCTGCTGCTGCACTGTCAAGATGAGGGATTTTCACAAATCCCCTTGCCATATTTTGGGTTAGCCAAGGGCAGCTAATTGTCAACCATGCTTCTAAGAATGGATAATCAAGTGTATTCTTTCTTGCTCTGATTTAGCTTAGGTATCCATTCCTGAAAACTGGTGAGGTAGCTTATTTTATCATGATACTATGATTCTGGAGCTGGAGGTCATGATATACAAGAAGAGGCTGACAGAATTGGGTTTGTTCAGCCTTAAAAAGAGAAAGCTCAGGGGAGGCATCATTGCTGATATCAGCTACCTAATAGGAGGGCAGGAAAGATGGAGCCAGATTCTTAACAGAGCTGCACAGTGAAAGGACAAGCGACAACAGACAAAAGTTGCGACACGGGGAATTCTGATTAGATGTTAGGAAAAGATTTTTGCCATGAGAGTAGTCAAACACTGAAGGAGGTTGCCCCCTGTGGAATTTTAATCCTTGGAGATATTAAAAACTTAGAGGGACAAGGTCCTGAGCACCTGGTCTGTGTTGGCCCTCTTTTGAGGAGGGAATCAGACTAGATGACCTCCAGAGGTCCCTTCTGCCTTAAATTCTTCTGTGATTCTGTGGTCACAGTGAGTTGATGTCCATGAGATGGCAGCTTGAAGTTCTGCCCAGACACGCATTCAGGGTTTGAATTCTTGATTATACTATCTTGATTATACTATTCTTGATAGATACTTCCAGTAAAACTATTTTTCATTCCTTATCTAATAAAGACATGTTGGTATATGATAGTAATTTAAGTAATTTACAGAACTGTTTGCCTGTTTTTTATGATTGCTGCTTATTTGTGGATCTGGAAAGTAACCTATGCTGTCTTAGTCCCTGTAGATAGGCATTACACCTTCCGTGTCATGAATTGTTCCAGCAAATGGGGAGAGAGATCACGGAGTGAAGATCTGTATAGGCAAGCAGTCTTCCTAAACACACAGTTTAACTTGGTACATAACCACTTTTTCTCTCTTGATAATTCCACATGGAGATCATTATTGTGTGTGTTTAAAAAAGTTGCTGGACTTAGAGATACAGACTTCCAGGCTTTAATGATTAGATTGAGAGACTTGTATTCTAAATGATGCATCTGATATAGAAAGTGAATAGAGGGTTTAATGTTTCCTGAACAGATGAGCATTTCTGTATTTTTCAAGAGCAGGTATCTCTGAAAAAGGTAATGGAGGCCACTTTAAGTGTTCTAGATTCTCTTTGTAGTGCTACACTAGTGGTACCAGTGATTTAGTAACAGGGAAATATGTAGGGAAGAATCCTCCTGCACAGTCTTGGAGTGAAAGTTGAGTGATCACTTTGATTACTTTCTCTGTTACAAAAGAACAGAAAATTCTAAAGGATGACCTAACTTTGTCTCATCGTCCAGAGAAAGCAGTGTATCTTCTGCTTGAAGAGATGCATTTTAAAGGGAATGCCAGAGATTCCCTTTTGCAAGAATGCAGGTTTGAGTAAAGAGGCACCTTATTCTTTTAAAATGGAAGATAATTGATCATTAGGATCTATCTGCTATAGGTTCTTCATGAACGTAGACTTCACTGAGACAGCAGATGGAGAGGACCAGTATTGGGGATTCCATTAATTTGTCATGAATCCTTTTTAGGTAGTTCTGGAACAGGCACACTCACTGAGTTAGCCCTTGAAAGCTTGTTAATGTGAGATGAGAAAAGACACCAGTGTTCTGTACTGGTTGAGAAGGTATTATCAACCTTTTTCACTTGCACTGCAACTGCTTAAGACACTAGGTCATTGACTTTTTTTCTAAAACACTAACCTTTTAAGGTGAAAGATTCAGATTGCTCACAGTTTGTTATTTTCTCCAGGAAAGGAGAATGAGAAGTGAATGTAATTACTCATTTATGTTAACCAGGAACTACAAACAACCTTAACTAACGGTTTGTAGCAGCTGACTATTACAACTCGTTCTTACGCTTCCTCGAAGAGGAACTGGACTGGCACTGGCAATTACGAAATTTACATCTGGGAGGTAACACAAAGGTAGATGAACTAAAATTTTTGGGAGACTGGCTTAGATTTAACAGATAGTCCAGTTTTACAGAACTGTAGACGTGGTGTGGATATCTTTTATCATCTTGCCCAGATAAAGAACAAAAAATTTATGAACTTTTGAAGAGCCTTTTCAGGTGAAGATACTGACTTCTCTGGTTTCTATCTTTGCTGTCATATTGCATAACTAGTATAGAGGTGACTCCACAGTTGCAGTAGGAGTTGAGACAGAGACTGGAGGGCTTACTGCCATAACCGATAGTTCAGACTGCCAATCCAAATTGGTATTTGAGCACCTTGAAATAAAATAAATTAAAAAAAAAAAAGGAATCCAAATGAAGAAAAATATATAATCCGAGTGAAATAGGAATGGACCTACTGGAGGTTGTAGATTTTTTGGATCAGGCATGATTGTGCTTAGCCCTGTTTTGGGTAGGTCTTTCCAGAGGAGTCTTCAGGTCACAGATAGAATGTTGACAAATGGTTCTTCAAAGACTACTTGTTCTGGCTGTTGCTATTCCTATTGAGATTTTCTATTATTATATTTTTCTAAAAGACTTATGGTTATGAAATATTGATGAACTCAAATTCTAATTTATTATTACTTCCCTCTTGAAAGTTTTATGTGGGCAATTTTTTAATTTTTGCAGAGCAACACACTTTCACAAAAGTGTTATTTTTGTTTCTTGCATGATGTTGCGTTCCTTCTGTATTATGATTTGGCATGCTGTTTGCTTTCACAGTTATTGAAAATTCTTTGTGGCTGGCATATGTTTTATCTCCATAGCTTGATTACATTTTTAATTTGATATGTTCAGCTGTTTTGCTCAGCCTGCTAAACTTTTTATTTGTGAGGAGTAATTCTTGCTAGATCTGTAAATATCTTTCCTTTACAAAGTCGATTTTGATTTTCCAATACCCTTTTATTGATGTGGTAATTGATCCTATGGCAGATAATTCAGCCTCTAAATAACAAGTGTTCTAAATTTGTTAACTGCTTTCATTCATGGAAACAGATATGTTCAGGACAAACTATATATTCGTTTATTTATATATCTTTCCAGTCTTTCTTAAATGTAACTCAATGAGCAATTAATGGTACAATCACAATATCATATATTCTTCTGGTTCCAAAAATAGCTTCTTGAAGAATTAAGAGTTCCACAGAAAATATAAGTACAAATAACAGTAAACAGAGATAACTGTAATAAAAAAAGTGGACTGCATAATCATTACTTATTTGTAAGTACCTACTTGAGCTGAGTAACTATGAAGCACATTATGATTTACAGTGGTTACAGTTTGGTTTAAAACTGCCTATAAGATTATTTTATTCCTCTGTTTTTAGAACTAATACATAAATAATCTAATTTTTATTATAAGATGATATTTCTATCTGACTGCTTCAAGCATCAATTGCGTATATTTTGAAACTGCTGTATCTTTTATGAATCTATGAAATATATTCACCTAATTATTGAATATTGATAATTCAAGACTTGTGCTGCAACACTTTAGCCTTTTACTTGTACATAAAGATTGCAGATCTGGGCAAGGCTGGTGGTACACAAAAGCCACTATCATTTGGAGGCCTTTTCGGGAACTAAACCAAGTGACTTGATGATTCCATACTATTTAGCAGTGTCTAAATGCTTCATAAAAATACTTCACAGCAGTGTCTCAATAATTTACAAGAAGCTGTGATGAAAAAATTGAAATTGCTCTGATTTTTTCAAAATTTAACTCTATAATATAGCAAGTTCATCACATTGAAAAGTATTTTATTATCACTGCTTTGGAAAAATTATGCCGGCTGTTTTGGGGAGGACTTTTACTCAAAAAATAATGGTATTGTGAAAGAAATGAAGCAAATCTTGTACAGCTGTTCATAATGATTTTATAACTTCATTAACTTTATAATATTTAGCCATAATTCACATTGTGGTTAGTTGGATTTTGGGTTGTCACTGAGGATAAAAATTCATTATTTTATATTGCAGAAAACTTGTATTTTGTTTTTAGGATTAAGAGCCTCAGACTTGCAAACAGATGATCTGAACATATTCTTGTTTCTGCTTTGGCTCCGAAAGAAATCAGGAAATACCAGCTAATGGGATTTTTTTGTTGCAAAAGAGTCAGCAAAGACATATTGATTTCAGGCTGACTAGCTACCTAACACCTTTCTGGTACAATTGATATATCCATTTCTTGACTTTGTAAACCAATCACTTAGTAGTTCCTTAAGTAGTACATTGCATTTTTAGGGAACAATATTTAATATAAAAGCTAAAGCATGCAAGTGCATCTAACAGTACTACATTTAAATATACTCCTTTGTTTTAGTTTAAATACTCCCTCCGTGCTGAAACTGCTCAGTGGATGGAAGGAAGGCCTTAACAACATTATTAGATTTATTTAATAATAAGATGAAAAAAATAGAAATTCAATGTAATACTTTTCATTCAAAATCAACAAATTACACATTATTTGCCTTTTAGCTTATATGGTGAATCACGAGCATCTTCAAGAAGATCTAAAAAGAAAAAGGCAAGGGTAAGTTAAAACACGACTTTTTCATATACATTTTAAAAATGTCTTTAGGATATCTTTTGGTGGTATTTTATTTAATTGATATATTGTGAGATACTGCGATGTTATGGTACAAGCTGACAAGATAATATAATTCTAGTGTAATTTATGCTTGAATTCAGATTGTTTTGATTTCAATATTTACATTGTAAGTAAATTAAGTGTAGATAGTTATAAAGATGTATGTATACATTTTGAACCTGAAAGTATCTTAGCTAAGTATATTTTTAATATTATTTTTACATTGATCCTCATCCTCAAGTCCTTAAGTCCTTATTCTGCTTAGTCACCCTGTGTTGAATTTACTTTTTCTCTGAATTGTATGAGAAGAGTATGTGGTTTAGTATTCACTTGTAGAAGATGAAAAAAGATTTTATTAGAATGAAAATCCACATACCATAGTGTAAAATTAAAAAAAAAAAATTAAAAAAAACCCCAAACTATTTTGTTTTTGGTTTCAGTTGTTCAGACTTTGAAAGTATGAATAACAGAGCTATTTCTATCTATCTATCGGTTTGACTGTTAAACACATCATAACTTTCGATTAGCTGACTGATTTTATCAAGATACAAATAATAATTTAAAAAAAAACCCAAACTATTTTGTTTTTGGTTTCAGTTGTTCAGACTTTGAAAGTATGAATAACAGAGCTATTTCTATCTATCTATCGGTTTGACTGTTAAACACATCATAACTTTCGATTAGCTGACTGATTTTATCAAGATACAAATAATAATTTAAGAGATCATCTTATTAAATGTCTGCAAACTACCCACAATGCTACAAGTGCTTTATAATAATGAGTTAATTATAATAATTCTAAAAGTAATAGGAACTATTATGTGAAAATGTAAAGAAGTAGATGAGTAAATTCTTTGTAGTCAGAATGTAAGGGCCCAGCAAGTACTGGGCTTAAACTTCATTATGAAACATTTAGATGAACTTCTGGAGAGAGAAAAACTTTCTCATTGTAAGGATTGTTATTTTGTACAACCAAATACAAAGGAATTTGTGAAATAGCATCACCAGAGATTTTTATGAGTCAGATCTTATCTAAGCCATGCCTAGGATAGCTTATTCCTAAGCTATCCCTTAGGAATGATTTTGTTATGCTTGAACCTGCTTGGAGAAAGTGATAGAAGATTCTTTCCAGTCCTTCGTCCAGGATTTGTGACTCCTTGGTCATCCAGTTTGATCCATAGTGTGCACATGTAGATTTTTCACAGAAACAAAATCAAGCATCTCTTTTAGAAAGAGGTTTCACTGTCTTTAAAACTCCAAGCAGCAGACAGTACAGCATTGTTGCTAATAAGCTGTTCTAGTATTTAATTATACTCACCACTAGAAAATACTATCTTATTTCAAGGCAGCATTTCCCTCTTCAACTTTCATCCCCCTGGATTTTTTGTGCCTTTATCTGAAGCTTAAAAGCTCCCCTTACTGTCGATACCTCTCACATGAATAAGTAGCTAGTTTTAAGTATACGTGGACAGGTAAGTGTAAGTGAACTTTAGTAAGCTCAGTAGATTGATATCTGTGAATACACGCTTACATAAAGGCTATTTTCCAACCCCTGGATCATTTTAAAGATCTATGAACTTTCCTATTTCCATGCCATACCACAGCTGCGCAGAGAACACTAGTCATGACCTAACAAATGCTGTTCATGGAAGCATGATAACTTTCTTACTGCAGTTTTCAGCCTTCTTTATCACGCTGCGTCTTTTGCACTGAAAGTTTTTAATGTGGTGGCCAACTATAGTAACTTCCTCCTTACAGTTATTTCTTTCAAATCAAGAATATCTCTTTAGGTTTAGACAAAAATCTTTGTCCAGAGATACATTTAATCATATCTGGATATGTTAAAACATGCCTGCTGACATTTAAATTAGCTGCAATCATTGTGTAACAGTATCCTGCCCTCCTCATAGTTGCTATTAAAGTAATCTTTTACTTCCTCCAAACTTTATCATCAGAGATTGTATCAGGATTATATCTAGATTACAGATAAAAATATTGAATAAGGTTAAATCAAGAATCAGTCTGTCAACATTCAAGACACTTCAAAGTCAGGAAAAGTTCAAACATGGTCAGAAAACAGAACTAGGTACTATATTCTTGTTATGTGTCAAGTCATGTCACTGATATAAGCAGAAATATTATTCTTGAGGAATACTGGGCTGATGTCTATCCAGAATGCTTTTCAGAATCCTGCATCAAATTCCCCATCCACAACAAATAATAAACAGTACTCTGTTCTCAAAGTAGTTTTCATAAAGATTAGCATATGGAAATCAGAGGATTTTTAATTATAGATCCATCTGTCCAGTTGTTTCAAAGGCCACTCTTCTATCCTTTTAAGAGTTGGAAGATGGAGCAAAATCTTGATTACAGAATCTCAGCAGCTTCCGTCTCTCTTCAGTTGCTTTTAAATAGCTGTATGTTAAAACTATCCCACTTTCAAGCCTATTATTAACATTAGCTGTTTCTGACATTTGAAAAAGCATGGCATACATTTTAAAGACGGACAAGTATCCTATGTCCTGTGTAAATTACCTGCAACTCTTCAGAATGGCTCTGAGAAAACTCCCCAACTAAGACATTGTAAGTAGAATTCCTGTGTGCAAGACAGAAGCATTAATTTTAATATGAAGTGCTTGGAGACTAACTTTCAATCATGAAAGTTGGCTATTCATGTATTTCATGTATTAACCCTCATGTTCTTCCTTCTGATAATACTTACAGAAGCACGCCGTTCTAGCAATAATCTTCTCATTGAATGATGCTATCCATGTGAATCTTCCCCTTTTTAATGCAAGTGTATATCTCTAAGCATCCATACATTTGAAAGAAAGAGTCTATGTTTATTATTGCTAACACAAAGTGACTACAGAAGAATCAGGTAACTTTTAATTTTATAGTCATTCACCTAAGTACCCAGCACAAGAAGATTTTGCGTTAACTCATAATTTTTGATAAAATGTCACATAATGTGAAGGAAGTACTTCACCATTTGCACATAGAAGAATCGTTACTTCTGGGCATATATTTTTGACCCTTGAAATTCTCTTCTTTTATATATTTAAAAGTACTTTACTGTGTAAATTAAAGTAAAGCCAAAAGTAGACCTTTCTTTACTTCTGTCCCATTTTCACTAGAGAAACATGAAAGGATATTAACTAACGTTAAATATTACTTGATGATGAGCATTGCTGCTGTTTCAGAATTTCACAAAATGTAGAAATTAGCAGATTGGTTTTAAGGCTACTAAAGATAAACGATAATGTTTTGAGTAAAGGTAACAGGGGCTCCCATATCATGGTATGCGACAAAAAGCAAAGTTCAGAGTATATTTCTTCATTTTCTAACAGAAAAAAATCAGATAAAAACAATGTATTGAATATTCCTATCTAAGATCTGATTTCCAAAATGAAACATTATTTGATTCTAATCGAAAGCGGCAAAATAGAATTTTAATAATGTTGTAGCTGTGGCTCGTTAACTTTGGTACTCTATTTTCAGTTCATTGACAGTGTTCCAGAATAGGGAAAAGAGCATTCTGGATCTTAAATTTCGTGTTTGAGACTTCTTACCAAGTGATGAGTCGAATACCCCGATTATGAAGTTTCTAGAGTTCTGCTTTCCTTCTTTCCTACAGATATCCTGCGGTTTATAGAAAAGCAGCTCTTTTGAAGACTTTTGGCAAAAATTCAGATATTCAAACACTGACACCTTTTAGAAAGATTTAGACACTGACACTACTAAGCATGAGAGCAAATAAATTTTGGGGCCCATATGTTGGAATTAACCTTCAAAAACGGTTAGTTACATCGTTTGTTCATGAAAAGAGCTAGACTTGAGATGCTGCGTCTAAACGGTGGATACAGATGAACCATTGTGCGTCTTGATCACTTGGTTGTCCTCTAAACCATGTGTATGCAGTCCCCTTGCCTATAGAAATGAGGGCGCATGTACGTGTATATGTGGGTTTCATGTGTCTGGATTTTCTGCTGATAGGGAGCTGTGATACAGGCAGTGAGCAAATCTAGATGCAGCTTAGGAGCTGGGACATGCACCTTGGTCAGAGTTTTAGATGTAGCCAGAAAGCTGGTCATTTTCTGGCTGTAGCAGTGCCACTAAGGAGGATGCTACCTTCAGTGCGTTCCTGCTGCTCCTTTGTGGTCCTGAAAGAGGCTACCACCCTCTTAGCTTTGCTGGCTGGGTTTTTTTCATTCAGACTTGGCTGGATTGGCTTAGACAGTTTATATGATCAGGATTGCTTTTTTGGATTAAAATACCATCCACTAGAGCCAGTGCAGTTATCACTAAAAACGGACATGTGAACAGGCTTTCAGGCACCGCATAATGGGGCTCATAACAGCCGACACACCATGGCGTGTTGTGTAAGCCAGCTAGTAGAAAATGCTAATAAAAGGGGTATATCTGAAATTTTGTTACTTTCCTGGAGTTAGGTACTGATGTGAAACTTTGAAATAGGCATCTCTGGAAAACTGAAATTCACTATCTAATACTTCCTTCAGAGTCTAAGTGTCCATGTCATCTGCATATAAGGGATTGGACCACGTTCTTCTTTTACAAAGAGAGGGAAAGGGGTGCAGGTGGAAGAGAGAAGTAATTTTCATAAACAATTTAGCTCTCAGATGACTTATCTGAAAAATGGGAGACCTGAGTTCAGAACTTTTTCTTAACATGATGGGTTTAAAATCCACAGGTTATACTCCACTGTTTGGTGACTAGGCTATAGGGTATTTGAGGATGAGAACAGTCTTCACCTCACCTTGTTAGGGCTGGGTAATTGTGGAGGAAGATCAGTACCACTTACAGAAGAATTTTCCCCTAAATGTTTTCAATCAAAATTTGATTTGTATGTTGGCTTTAGCTCACAGATGTTATAGATTACAGATTAATATAATTGTGCATAAATATAAGTCATCCTCTAACTATTACTAAGCTACTGCCTTCATCGTTTCTTTTGATGGTAAGAGCTACATGCAGAGTGTCTGTCATGTAATAAAAGTTACATTTATTTTTATCACTATTATAATTTTACTGGCTCTTCTGCTGTTCCGGAATTAAGATGTCTGGGCCCCACTTACTATTTTATATGCTTTTATTCTATTCTCTCTTTTTTGTATCTTACCTAAATTTCACAAGTGTAATCTTTAAAATCTCTCTTCATGGGAACAATCATAGTATGGAAATAAAATATATTTTCATGAATAAAATTAGTTAATATATACCTTCAATTTTTTTTAATATTGAGCAGTTTTTATATTGTGCAGTTGACCTCTTCATTTTTTACTATCTTGTTTTCTGCTAGTAATGCAGCAGATACAGTATGTATGAAAATTCCAGACCCATTAGTTATAACACTAGAAATAACACTGCAGTGATGTTACACAAACTTTGGCTACTTGTAATCCACTGGGAATTTAAATCTAAATCTAAATCCTGGCCTCTTGTAACTCTTGAATTCCTAACAGGGAATCAGTCGAAGTCCAGTCACAGTGAAAAGAAGATGTAAGGATTCAGGATTGCTTGCATAATGAATACTGGAGAGCTATTGGGCAAAGGCCTGAAATAGTTCAAGAAGTAGATTAGAAGCCAGGGGGTTAATAACCCTCTGCTGTTGAGGGAAGAAAGGCCAAAATGAGAACTTGAGATCGTACTAACAATGATGTCCTCTTAAAGTAGGTCATTTGCAACTGAGTAGTATGAAGAACTACAAATGTATTAGTTATGTAACCTTTAAGAGGAATGATGATGAGGAGTTAACGACTTGCCTTTGAAAATTATAGGAACTGTTAAGATCACATTATGATGCTGTAGTTTTGTCTACAGATCCCTTACAAATTTGTAACAAGTATTAAAATCATTTTAAAAAGTTTAAAGAAATCCATGCATTCTAGCTACGGTTGCTGATTTTACACTGTGACAAAAATATGGGAATATATGTAGAAGCGCTGAAGTTGCTCTTTGCCTTTTGCAAAGTCAAAATAACTTTTGAAGAAACTAAAGTAAAACAGATTATGAATATAATACATCTCATCACTGGTGATATTAATGCTGAATGCTTACAAGTGCAAACAGATTATTTTGGCATGGTTATCAATATATCAAAAAATATTTAGTCTCCATTTTGATATTCTCTATTTATGTTTTGCTAGTCAGAGAAGCCAAGGGTCAGAAAATCCTCCAGTATACCTCCAGGAAAACCAGTTAAAAATTTAGGAGTAGAAGATGAAAAAGTAAACTCAGATTTTCATGGCAAAAGCAAGAAGGCAAGTCCTAAAAGGACTTCAGATCCAGCACTTGCTAAAGGTAACACAGCAAAACATGTAGGCAATGACTTAAGGTGACATGAATCAGTTCTGAGAGGCTTAAGTGTTATGGCGTGTACTTAACTCAGTCTTTCCTGTCAGAGCTACTCCCCAGTTTACACAAATACCGAAGTAATTGTGGTGGCAGAATGAGTAGAGCAGAACTGGGAATTCTTTTTAGGACAGTGTTGGCTGTAGTTTATTGAACATGTCTAAGAAGTAATGACTAGATATAGGGATAACATCTTCAGTTTAATCTAGAAACATTTTTCTGTATGTGCTATATTGGTGGGTCTCTATTTATACATCTCAGAAATAGTATATGCAGCCTCCTTCTTGTAGATGTACATTAATGCAAGAAATATACCTAGTATTGACAGTCTATGGCACAGCTCAACTTCAAATACCACAGGTATCAGATATTATTAGAAATCAAAGAACATAAGCTTGTTGTTCCGTAAATAGATTTAATAACAGTTTTGTCATTCTTAATCTTCCCAAATTTCCCTTTTTTTTTTGGAAGTACTTCTTTTGTTCCTTCCGTTTTTTTTCTTGTATCTTTAGAATGTTTGGAAATTTTACATATTTACAAGAGAATCTTAGGCATTGTACTGTGCAAGGGGGAGGGTCCTGCCTTCCAGATGAGCTTATGAACAGTGCTTAAATCCTGAAATTTTTTTCAGGTAAGGTTCAGTATATTCTTTAAAATCAACTCAGGTCGAGGTAATTCACAGAAAATATTTCACTCAGTTCTAAGACATTAAACCCACCTACTTTGTTATACGGCATTTTCAAGTGGTATTTCGTACTGTAAAATTAAAAGTTCAGTATAAAGAAAGACACTGAGTTTTATAAAAGGATTAGATGAGCATGCAGTTGTGAAATGAATGTGGAAGCATGTATTTGGAATTTCAAAGCCAAATTTTTCATTATGTTTCAGCATCAAGTATCTTTACAGCAGACAAACCAAGAGAAGAAGTTCAAGGAGCAGAAGAAGTACAAGATGACAAAAATGTGCAAGTAGAGATGCCTATTGATCAGGTAGAGTTAAGGCAAATTTTTTGCCCTCTGTAGCGTGATCACGAGTTAGCCAGAACCCTTGAGATGGAATTGCTTGCTCCTTTTGCTTGAAGTAACGGTGTCTAAAAATGCAAAGGCTTTCAGTCTTTAAAGGTATTTTTCTAGAACATGAGAAAAATAAGTTAGGCATTTTAAAATTACCTCACAACTTCATGGTAAAAAAAGATTAAATAAAAGGCTTAGGAAGTTTTCTCTTGATTATTGAGTCTTTGTCAGAGGGATTTATGACTTCACTCCTGCTTTCCTCACTGTCACAATTCTGGAATCAAAACATGAGCCTTCATCCATGAATTCGTACAACTTTTTGTTTAGTTCAAAACATTAGTGATGTCGTGGTAGAGAAAGAACAGGATGGTGCATACCAGAGTGCTGCTCAGAAGTGAGAGTGAGAGAACACCTGGGTTTTCCCGTGCCTTTTTTCCTGGAGGATGGGAGGGTAGTTTGCTTTAAGCAAATTATGCTCTGTTTTGTGCTGTGTGGATGTATGCATATACATTTTCTGTAGGCACTTAAACCATCTGACTAAAAGAAAGCTGAACTGATTCTGATCTGTCCAGGCAAATTGGAAATGAAACTAAATCAAGAACACGTATAGTTCCTCATAAAAAAACGGTAATAAACAGGTACATTTCATATGTATTATTCAGCAAGCCCATAGGAGAAGACTATGTATCAAAAATTTTCATTTCTTGTATTCTTAACTCATGATAATTCTGTTCGAATCTGTTTTAAATCATTAATTTGTTATATTCATTTATTGTGTTTAATTTAATTTAATTCAATATTTAAGTTAATTCATGAGGCTTTTACAGGCATATACATTTTCTTATCACTGTGATTTTATAATAGTTACAATAAATAAACTACTTTTTATAATTTTATAATACTTATTATATCCATAGTGTTTAAAAAATCCCAAAAGATAAAAAGCAAATACAAGAGTCTAATGTAGCTATCCTTAATGCCTAGTAGTCATTTTGATGCAGTCCAGCAGAGGAGAAGCTACGACTAGGCAGATGCTAGTGTTCATAAACTTTTGTTTAATCCTAGGGATTGCTACTCTTCTTAGACAGCAATATGTATAAATTGTAGGAATACATATACGAAGCAGTATATGTAAACTTTATAAGTGTATAAACTGTTGCAGATGTAAGTGAGAAATAATCTGGATATTAATTTGGACATACACGTCATCCTGGTAGGAGAACACTGTGTTTTTGCTTTATTTGACATAAAATTTAAAACAAATTTGATTTCTAACAAAAAGATTTTTTTCCCTAAGCGGTTAGTCAATGAAGGTGATTTTAATATATATTTATCCAGTTCAACAGGTGCCTTTTGTATTTATCACACACAAAAAAAGGAAATACAGCTATTTTGTGTTCTAAATATTTCTTAACAATTATGTGCTTGATTCATACCCCAGCATATTAGTTAGAAATGGAGTAGCAGATATTCTAAAAATAGAGAAACAAAGAGAAAAATGTATTAGTCAGAGTCCTGTAATACTTCATTTTAGTGTTATTTTGGAAGAGATCAAGATAAAAGATAGCTTTTATGTTTACTTTTTGCATAAACATCTGATGAAAGGTGCTAGTGTCTTTCAGTTTTAGAAAGGGTGAACTATCACCCTCTCTGAAATCTCTCACTCAATTCATCTGTCAAGTCAAACTGCTTCTCACACTAAAATCCTTATTTTTGTGTTTTAAAGTGAATTTAAAGTGCCAGATTGACAGCACAGAAAAGTGTCGTCTGTTTATTCCTGGAATAGATCCTGCTCAGGGAGCAACATCTGCACTGAAGATCTTAGCAGAAAATGTATACAGGCTTTGGTGTTAAAATAGAATTTCTCCATAAAGTGCAAATCACAAATGGAAAAAGCACAGCAACATCTGGAAGATAGTTGTCTACTACTGATACAACTAACAGCACCATTTTATTATCTTTTTACAGTTGTTGATCTTCCTACGTCATTCTTTTTTGTATATGAAGCTGTCTTCAATCTGAATGATTACTTTTTACATTTGACAATCCATTCTGTAGGGTCAATTGGACGATGAGTTGCCATTTCTGTACAGCTAGTGTGCCACCATTTCATTTGCATACCGTCTTCACTACAGAAGTGATGCCTAAATAGCTGTAAGGTTAGATAGCAGTAGGCTACACTTGATAGCATAGTTGGAAAAGACATGATTGAGTACCAGGAAATAAGTTAGGAACCGTAAAGAAGAGGGAGGATAAAAAAGAAGGAAAGATAATATTCAATTATTCAAGAAGTCATGGGATAAAAAGGTACAGAAAATACAAGGAAAAGAAGAGAAAAAGACCTAAGGGAAAGAGAACTGGAAATATTAAGAAAAATTTGGTGATGGGAACAAAAAAAAAAGAGAAAAAGTTAAAAAATAAGTGAACTATGAAGTAAAGAATATTGAGTATGAATAAGAGGGCACAACAAATATTTACATAAAAACACGTTCATTTTTGGAATATACTTGCCATACAAAATTATGATGTTCATTTTGCTTTTTATAAGGTAAACAACTATGGGGCTATATTAATATTTTTCCTTGCTTGGAGAATCAATATGCATTAGATCAATCTTCCAGAAGAGCTATTTTGCATTGCTTGAATGTTACTTCTTCACTTTAGAGGATACTGTCCTTGGAATGCATTTAGTTGGGTAGTTTCCACACATTTGTTTTATGCATCCAATAAGGTTCCCGTAATTATATATCAGTACTGCAACATTCCTCCCTAGCAAAGCCTTTCAGTTAATTTTTTCTTTTTTGCCTTTTACTCCATTTAACCTTTTTTTCCATGAATGGTTATGTGTAATCTCTTCTGGTAAAATCCAACATATATGCATTTGTCTTTGCCAAATGGAACTTTTATATTTCTTTAGATAAAATTTTATAACAATACTGAAAAGAAAATCAAACTTTCACCAGACTGCTGCTTTTTTTTCCTCTGGTTAGTACCAGTGGAGTCACAGTGATGGCATATTAAAAATACGAATTGATTGCAGCCCATCGTATTTAGTTTATGTGCCAGGAGAAGAGCAGAAAGGGACAAATTATTTTGTTAAAATACTAAAAAAAGAAAATATTTTGTCTGTGTCTTCATTGGTAAAGATGTTGTAAATCCAAGACAGTGTTTGTTTAAATTCCTGTAAAATTTAACAAGATGAAAATTAGATTCTAATGATTTACTTCTTTAAAATAAGTGTTTTCTCAGTAACTCTATAATAAGATAAATATTAGCCTTTTCAATTTAGCTAAATATTATAACGCTTTTAGAATTGTAATTGTGACACTTTCGTTTCCTGTGGTTGTTCTAATTCACTTTCTAACACTATCATTACTTTTGATTTGGCTAAATTATTTATGAGTCCTGAATTTCTTTGTGAATATGAAATTAGCATAATTCATTATTTCATTACTTTGAGCCAAATCCTTCAGCTCTTGCTTAAGCAAATATCTCGCTGAGGTGTGTAGTTACCCTTGAAGTAAAAAGAGTTTTGACTTGAGTAATGTCTTTAGATCAGACCTTTTGTTTCTTAATGTAAATGTAAATGCTTTTTTGTATATAGTTTGATTCATGAATTAAAGAAATAAATATTTAATTCTTTGTATTTTATCACTGAATATTAGTTAAAAGTAAGCAAACAAAATAAAGATGAAATTAATGATAAAAGTGAGAATGAAACTAATATAAGGGAAGTTTTAATGACTAGTATAGAAAGGCTGTAAATTATGAAGAGCTAAGTTCATTTTTATGTATGTAGATTCCAGCTGAGATTGTACAAGAGGAAGAAATTGCAGCACCTACCAGCAATGCTATGAGTGAGGTTGGATTTCCTTATTTTTTTAAATGTGAAAGTGTACATATTTTAAATGTAAGGTAGATCTTTAAAGCAGAATGTAAAGCATTTTCATTTGATTCTGAACATGAAACCGATTCATCTAGCTTGATTTTTTTATTTGGTTCTGATGTGCCTGAAATCTCATTAAACTGTTTATCTCAGGACATCTGTATTATTAAAAGATGATAAAAGTCCTGTAGGATTCAGTAATCAGATTTCTGTCATTGTTACAGCAGTAACTCATGAAATTTCAGTATCGCTGAATCAATTTTAGCTGGAAGCTTGAACTCTCTTTGACTTAACATTTAGATACAAACATTAGCCCTTTTCCTTTTGGAGTCAAAATTTAAAGTGCAGTGCAGCCATACAGCTTTTCTTGTGAAAATCTATGAAAGCAATGGAAACAAGTCTATTTATATGTGTATTTGCCCAAATATATTTATTTTGGTTTTACCCTAATTAGGTACCTGTCTTTTAAAAACTTGGCTTAGATTTTTACTCATTCTTTAACAGTATTGCAAGAGAAAAGGCAACTTTTAAGATTCATGTGCTGAACGCTCTGGCAGGAATCCTAATTTCATTGAAATTAGTGGGATTTTTGTCATTGACTTAGTAGGGCTAATAAATTCGTCTTATATGTATGCTTTATGAGGTAGTGATTAATCTGGAAAGCATTGCTGCTGCATCAGAATCTCTCCATCACTGAACCACGTGCCTTTCTGTTACTTGCAATAAAAGGAATGCCTGTACTCTGGTTCTTAGTATATTTAATGAAATGAAAACAGAAGCAAATCTCATTTTAAAAGCAGAATTTGATTAATTATTGAAATATATATATGCTTGCCCCATAGCTCAGGCAAGGACCAAGGACAAGCGCCCTAGCTGACCAACAGCTCCCGAGTGAAGGGGAAGCCTGCAGCAAGGCTTCTGCCGGCTCTCTCCCACAACCCTTCTCACAGCAGCCTCATCGCCACTGCACGGCCACAATGCGCCAGTACTGGCCTTGAGCACACAGAGCCAAGTCCCCAGGAGGGGATGAGAGGTGGCAGAGCCTCTCGGTGCGCTCAGGGACCTAACGCTGACTTGATTTCCAGAGTGGGTGTTTTTAAAAGGCCAGATGACAATGTTGTGTTTTATGGGGGTTCTGAAGCCACTGCTCTGTCTGTCTTTGCTGAAGTTTGTACATGTGATAGTTCCATGATAATTTTGTTCCTTGACTTCTTCATGATGCAACATTTCTTCTTGAGGAAATGCATAGATTGATGTTGAGACATTAACCAGTTGGCAAGGGATAGCACCACTTGATGCCAAGATAATAGCTAACACAATGATTTAAAAAAACTAGGGCAGGATTCACAGAGAAGAGTTTTGATCATTATTACAACATCTGCCTTTTAAGCATAACATTGCTTAGTCAAATTTCTAATCTCACTGTGGTCACTTAAACTTCCTGTAGAGTGCATGGGGGAGAGCAGGAGATATCAGAACGGGATCCACAATGCCTGAATGCCAGATGTGAGCCATCTGAACTGATAGGGCAAGATGTGTGGTATAAGCCCTAGGCTAAAGGACTTTGGACTGTGCACCTCTAGGTTGTAGGGAGGTACGATCTTGGATTTCACATCTATAAAGTCTTTGGTAGAATCGAGTGTGTTTGACAAGTAAGTCTTTTCTTATGAAAAAAAAATAAAACAGTTGTTGTTTTAACTGTATAGGTAGAGTTCTGTCCTGATGAACTGAAATTATTTTCAAGTTTTTCCCTTTGTTTGAATGGATTTAACACTATTATCTCAAGTTGCTGAGTCCAAAGAATTTGACCTTCTGTATTCGTGTTATATAAGCAGGGCGCACAGACATATATACACCCACATAGAAACACATAAATAGCAAAAATTTGATACATCCATTCAGAACGTTAGGACCCTTGAGTGCTTCTGCATACGTTGTTACATTATTCACAGCAAAAGAGCTTTTATGTTTGCATGTTTCTGTATCTATAAGAAAAACTGTACAAATACTATAGAAATAATTAAATAATTAAAAATGTATGTGTAACTTGAAAGAATTTGCAATTGGAACAGTTGCATATGTGAAACCTAAATGTTATTTAGGTGTTTTCAGTGTGTGAATGTCTAAATGAAACCCACATTGAAAAGGCTGATAATGGGACTGCAGTTAAAAATTCAGTGAATTAACTGCTGTATACTTTTTGACATAGGTTGAAGAAGATGCCCTGACTTCTGAGGATACTCCGAAAAAGGTTTGCTTAAAAAAGAGTTAGCTACTGTTTCCTGAATGGAAGTGTCTTGAACTGCCTGCTATTTTACAGATATTTTTATCTGTACAAAGTGCAGGTTCAACTAGAAAGCAATAGTACAGAAAGTGGAACAATACTTTACTATCTGAATGTGTAAACCTGGACTATTGTTTTGAGCATATACTTAGTAAGTAATGGTTATAGAATACAGTTATTTCTTACATTGTAGGCCATCTGTGGAGATAGTGACACATTCAGAATTTGCACAGCTCATGAAAGACTACAAAGAAGGCCTTTAACGAGGTTGTGAAAACTGCACATGGTAATAAACGTAATGTCATACTCATGAGCAGTAGTGTGCAGAACAGTAAGTGCATTTAGTTCTAACTCTGTATGTGAAAAACTGAACTATCATAGAATGTGATGTGACTAAAAATGAAAATTTTCCTCTGGAGAGAGTCAGTTTCTATTTTTTTATTATTATTTTCCAGTCAGGAATTGGGACATTTTAGATTCAAGCCTTTTTCTTGCTCTGTGAATTTTCCAATAATTTGACTTTCCTTTTTGATTCAGAACACAAACTAAATTCAAAAAGTTGAAATTAGTATTGGGACAAAAAAATCATTTCCTAATTAGCTCTAGCGATTAGAAAATAAAGTCTTGCTTTGTTAGAACTGCTGTATTTTAAAGTGAGTTTGAAAATATGATATCCTTTAGTTCTATGTTTATTGTCAGTAAGTGAATTCAGGGGTGCATTTTCTCATTTTACCTCATGTGAGGTAGATGATGTTGGCAGGAATAAGCCCTTAATGAGAGATTCTGTTGATTTATGAGCAATAATCAGACATGGGTAGTTTTTCATAGTTGTGCTGTCTTTGCTGTGCTAATTAAAATAAAGGTGCAATACTGGCTTATTTTTAGCAGAGAATCAGCAAGCATGACTCAGATATAATAGGAAAACAGATCTATTGAGTAAGACTATGGTAGGTCAGCTTTACTAGTCTATATTAGATCCCTTTTAATTGGTGTATTTTCCCTCGGCAGTTGTAAGTAAAAGTCAGATAAATTGACTTGCATTGCACCTTTATTTTGGAGATAGAGGATGTTTCTTTACTTTTTACTGCTGAGCACATACATAACTGTCTACATCCAGAGAGCGGGAAGGAATCCTCTACTAGAAAGATGTTAGGATAATTTTGCATTAGAGACAAGCAGAAAGTGTCGTGATAGCACCTGACTTAACTTTATTTTGAAATGTGCACAACCAGGTTCCATTTAAACACTTGACAAGTGATCAAATGAGCAAATTATTTAATTTCCTTGAATCAGGAGATTTTACTTTTTGAAAGAGGTATTTCTGAGTACCAATGATGATACTTCACATTGCATATACCATATCAAATTTGTTTTATAGACAGCTAATTAATGTAGTCCTATTTGAAATGTATTAACAAAAGTAATCTTGCTAATCTCTCATTTTCTAGGATATTTTAATGATTTTAGGTTAAACAGTTAGTATTGAATATTTACATAAGGTGTTAGCCTTTGAAAGTCCTATCTTGCTTTACTTATAAAAAGTGTATAAACTGAAAATGAATCATTTAGATGTTTCCTGTAATGTACTTTTTAAGGCTATGAAATGTATTAGAAAATCAGCATCTGTGATTGTCTCTCGTAGGAATTCTTTTACATAAACTCGGCCATTGCTTAGGAGAACTGGATAATTATCTATTGTGAAGAGACAACTTCATTATTAAATATAAGGATTCATTTGCTGAAAATTGGGCTATAAGATGGGGTAAAGAAAGACAAGTGGACCATAGACATGGATCATATAGGAATGTTTGTATTTCAAGATTAGTAATTTTTTAAACTATATGTCATAGCACATTAATGATCTTAGGCTGCAATCCAGGAAAGCACCTGTGTCCAGGACACAGCTTAAGTGTATCTTTGATTTAAAGTGTGTATTTAAGTTCTGCCTTCTATAGAAATAGGAGTAAAACTTCTTTACTCACATTACACCATAAATGATTTTGTGTTGGAATAAAATAAATGTTTCCTCTCTAATCTAATGAAAAAATATGTATGTATAGCAAATTTCATTTAATTTGACACCAGTGCAAAGCTTCCATTTAAATGGGAAACTATATATAATAACTCCTTTGAGTTGTTCAGTATCTTTTAGAATTTTTATCTGTTTCAAATTTTAAAGAGTTCTTTTTCTTTTCGCTGTTAATCGTCTAATTAGTAGATGCCCACCAAGAGTCCAGGCAGCAATTCTGTCCTTTACTTTGTTGAAGCCATTGAAACTCAGTTGCTTCAGTGTTTCACTTGAATCATATCAATTGAAAGTCTCTGGACGAAAGTTAACATTTTTATCCATAGTTTTGTTTACAAAAAAAAAAAAAAAAAAAGGTTGTGATGTATTTGACAACCCAAGATAAAAGTAATAATTATAACAGATAAATTGTTATTTTTTTCCTCTTACAAAAATCCCCAGACTGAACGTTGAATAACTGCATTAGCAGTGTGTCCAATATATTCCCTTGATTAAGATGATGAGATAATGACTGGAAAACTCTGGAACAAGTAATTTTTGATATTCTCTATCAGATAGAGTAAGATCTACATAGACTCGGATGGATACACTCTCTATATATCTCTGTTTGAGAGATTAATATGTCTCAATCATTTTAGTTTGCTTCCGATGCTCTGAATTATCCTATTCC